CTGAATTGTTTAATACTTTACACCTCTGGATGGCAGGTGCATGGGGCTTTCTCTAAAGAATAATTTCTTAGGATAAATTAAGTTTGTAAGAATGTTCTTAAGTGCGATTCTTGAAAAATTCTTAAGACGTGCTCAAAAATCTTATCATAAAATCATATTTTTTCTTAAGAAAAAAATGTAAGACTTAGGACAAGTTGGAGGTTAAGATGAATTTTACTCTTATAAAATGTTTGTGGGAATACAAAATATTCTTACGTTGACTCTTAAGTTACAAAATAAGAGCAAAGTTTTGAGAATCAGACTCCGTGTGTCTACAGCCGCAGGTTATTTAGATCCTCGTTTGATTGGACTCTCAGTATCAGGTGACACGGTTCAAACTTCCTGTCTTCAATCACTGTGGGAGATCAGACGGATTTCTGCTCTGAAACCAAGTGTACAACGTTTCCAGAGATTCAAGGTTTTAAAGACCCAGAGCCGTTGAGACTTTACAAGAGCATATGGAGAATCATTCAGTGTGTGTGTGTGTGTGCGTGTGTGTTTAGGGAGCTGGGGAGGTCAGAGGTCACGACTGATATACACTGATGTCTGACTTCTCACCCCCTGATGACTTCCATGCGTGTGTGTGTGTGTGTGTGTGTGTGTGTGAGAGAGTGAGGTTGTGTTTAGTTGCAGCACTGTGGTCTGCTGCTCTGTATATATGACTCTCTGTGGGTCTTTTTCTTTAAAGACACACACTCACACACACACTCTCACACACACAGTGTTTTGATAAGAATATTCTGTGCTGGCGACACAGATTCAATGCTGATTTTTTTAATCACTGATGTCTGGGTCTGTTTGGAATGTCAGGGCAGATATACTCTTAAAAATATGGTTTATACATTTTTTTCCTTTTATTTATTTATTTGCTGGGTCACATTTCATCCTTCAAAAAAAAAAAAGGAAAAAGGAAAATCTAGCCTATTTTTAGGACAATTAATTTTTTTTGAATTGTGTTCATTTTATTTTATTTACTTTTATTTTGTTTGCTTTTTGCACCTTGAGCACTAATGCTTGACGTGACAAAAGAAAAAGAGAAACAAAATTATTGTACGTCAAACCATTTCATATCACCAACATCTTCATAGGTTACAGAATTTTGTGTTTTCTAACATGATATAAATTATTTAGTTTTTTTTTTAAATAAAACATTAAATTCACCACAGCAGATAGTATAATACATAATAAACTAATACTTAATCTAAATAATGTATCATATAATTTTTGCATCATAATAAGTATTTAGGGGAAAACCGAATGAATTCTTATTAAAATAATGCAAAATTATAATCACAAAATGCAAAAAATCTTAATGGTTCTAAATATCAACTTAATTTTAGTTTGTACTTTTTTTAGTGAAAATGGGATTTTGACAGGTTTTGTAAGAATTTAAAAAAAAGTTCTTGATGTTTCATTATACTGTATGTGTTTTGGTTTCTAGTTTGGGATCTAGTGAATAAAATGTTTTTTTTTTTAAACAGAAACTTTTATTTTGAAAGGAACAGTTCACCCATAAAGGATCATTCTCATTTACTCACCATCATGTTGTTACAAACCTCTGTGGAACATAAAATATATTTATGTTTTCTGTACAAAGCCATCATAAAGTATTAAAATATAGCGTACATCATCTGGGCTACTGTTATGATTCTTTTTTAGAGCTTGACTGCTGTGCATCAGTGTGAATGCTCTGCTTTGTGTTTCCCAGACGGAAGAAAGTCATACAGGTTTGTAACGAGATGAGGGAGAGTAAACGAGGACAGAATGTTCGTTTTTCTCTGAACTGCTCCTTTAAGAGCACAGCCGTGATCTTTCTATCATCTCTGTTTCCTCTTTACCCTGCACTCGTCTCTCTCATTTAATCCGTCTCCCTCCTTTCCTCAAGCCTCTCTCCCCAAAATCTGGCTGAGGAGAAGGAAAAGTGTGAGTCACTCTGAGTGGCTGCTCCCGAGTCAGAAACTCTGTGTGTGTGTGTGTGTGTGTGTGTGTGTCTGGAGGAGACGGTTGCTATGGTTTCATGGATGACGTCATCCTCTCTGCACCGTGGCAACTGTGTGTTTTATATCTGATGACGAGCATCTGACCGAGCGGGCACACGTTACACACTCGGAAAACCGCTGACATTCATGAAGTCCCAGAGAAAAGAATATCCCAAATGCGATCGCAGTAAATCCTCCAGAATTTCAGATCTCAACTATTTCTCAAGCTGTGCTCAGAGTCTGCAGTTAAAAGTCAGATCTCAAGATGAACTCAAACTCAAGACTCAACTTTTTCATTGCAATGAGAAAACAAACGACAACAAAAAGTCAGAACATGGGAATAGAAAAGAATCACCCTCTTTAAAATAATCACATTTTGTTATATCTTTCGCTTGGATGTTACAAGTTGCACTGAGTAAATACAGCTGGATAAAACAAAGCAACAAAATATGATTATTTTCTATACCCACTGTACATATAATCTTATTTACCATACAATACTACTGCCAATAATAAACTAAATGTATTAAATATGTACTAAATTATTTTTACAACTACAATTCTACATTATTTACTAAAATAAATACTAAATTAATAAATAATTAATCAAACTTCAAAAATGCTCACTAATTTTGCACATTAATTTTATAAACATATCTTCTCTACCTAATCGGAAATCAGTGTTATTTTAGTATTCTGAATTAGTTTTTATTTTTACATTTTGCATTTTCATTTTAAAGTTTTAGTAATTTTGTTGTGTTTTTGTCTTTTTTTTGTTGTCTATATACTTTTATTGAATTTTATTTTGTTTTAGCTGTTTTAGTACTTCAACTTAAACCAAATAAAAATTAGAAATGTTGCCTTGGCAACTAGCTGAAATAAGCTGATTTTTTTTTACATGATTATTATTATTATTTTACTATTTGCTTTCAGTTAACATTTATTTCATTTCAAACAATTATTATTATTTTTTATTTTGATTTTAGTTCATGTTTTCAACAGGGTTATTATAGTTAAGTATTTTTATCTCTGTAATTTTAGGAGAAGAAAAATTGATTCTTCAGTGAAACTTCACAGCATCTCATGAGCAGCAATCACAAATCTCTCCGCCGCGGGAAGCATCACGTGCCCTGTTCTTTTTTCGTCCGCTCCAGCTGGCCGGTGTGTTTTTAGGGGCGTTACGGCAGGGCGCGGTGCTCGCCCTGGTGGGCAG